CATTGTTTCCAAACCAAAGCATTATTACTTTACAGCAGCGACACGGCACCGACATAACCCTCACGCGTGAAGATAATCGGTCAGTCAGTTTCGCTTTCCCTTACGCACTTCACAGAAAACCGAAACTAAACTTTGCGGCGAGAAACAACATGTTACCGACTATTTACACGCTGCTGCACATCAAAAGTAGACTAGACTTTAGTTTGGGAAAACTTGGTTGACGTGTAAAAGTTAATTTTCTTTTAAAAGTAAACTATGTCAGAAATCCAAATACCTTCACTTGGGCTTGCGTTATATCCCTGTTAGTATATTGTAATGTGGCTTGGCTGTATATCTAATTAATAAACCAATTTTTATATATTTCTATATTTATTCATCTTATTAATGATCACGGTTTAAGTGTATGGGACATATCCCTTAAATTAAACCTAAACATTGCACCAGTGAAGGGGCTCAACACCTTAGATTTCCAAGACTTGGATTGAAACCCTATTTTTGCATTTAAAAATAAAAATTTATGGCGCTTAGAAAGGTACAAAGTTTACCTGTAATTGCATAAACAGTCAGGAATCCCCTTTGCACAGATAACCCATAATTTAGTCACACCTTCACTCCAATAGTGAGGTACACTCAGTAAATATTATTCCCTCCCAGGGCAGCCAAAGCTCGAGTAAAACCTGCCTTTTTTATATATGAAATCACAGAAGTTTTCCAACTTCCCTTTGCGCTTGAGTCACATTAAATTCATCATTTCAATATGATTAATAGTAAATATTACAATTTGCAGGTGTCTAAAAATGAGATTTTTTCTGCATTTGATAAATTAGAGTAAATTAAAATTAAAATTAGAAGAGTACTTTCTCTTGTCAGAGTCATCTTCACTGCAGGTGTCTTGATTAGGAGCCCTTTTTGACGTACATGACTTGCAGACCATGTCCATGCCCTTTTGGCTAATAAGGCTCAAGAGCCTGTTGAGATTAGCTGCAAAGTTCAAGTCTGTTTCCCTCTGTGACACTGTAGTCTTGTCACTAAAGACATGTTTGTCTGCAAATATGTGTGAAGCCTCTACTTATTTTTTTAAAAAGAGGTAGAATTTTTATATTAATGATAAAAATGCTCCAGATCTTTATACTATATGATCATCTTATCCACTGCCCTTATTCCCACTGCGGCTGTTATCAATGCAAAGATAGCATCATGTTTGCAGTATATTTCCATGGCTCATTTTGTACGGGAATGGCACTTGGACAGATGAGTGTCTGGACCTGAGTCGGTGGACATCCTGCTCTTAATGTCTTCCTGTGAGAGATAACAGGTTGTATGAATTGTCCTGCTGAACAGAGAGATATGGGATGAGTACATCAGATAATGCAGTGCCATTATTTCATGAATGGAGTTTTTAAACCAGCACAGACGCCCTTATTATAAACTCAGTTGCTTTTTGGGTTTATGGCATGGTACAATGAGCTATATATTTATGACTATATAACACTGCTTTGGTAATATTTGTTTCCTATGACGTGAAGTTCGCAAAAGGAATTGATCTGTACTTGTTTAAGCACTGTGTGAATTCATTTAGTGCTCCATGATGAGGCTGTTATCTCTCATACTCATTTCAACATGACTGTTCTTTCTACCATTAGAGGAAATAAAGACTTGTCAGAATGCTACATCGCTAACCTCTGCATGGGAGTCGATTCATTCGTGCTTAGAGCAGGCTAAGGTCCTGTATTGGCTGTAGAAGATGAAAACACAGCATAGTGATAGTCATATGTTCTGCGGGGAATGGAGGCAGTAACTGTGGATTTTAATGACAGATCTTGGGCTCTTTATGGCCCGCTTCAGTGCAAGAATAGTTTCCACAAATTGGATTGCCCTCCTAAAATAGATGGGAACTTTGTGAAAGTGAAATAAGTTGCAGCATGGAGCTAAGGCAGTTGGCCTGTTTTCTGATCGCACTGCCGTGAACCCGATTAGCACGTGCGAAAATCCAACAGATGCCGCAGGAAATCTCAGTGAAGGCCCCTCAGACGAGGGCCATGCACAGTTGCACTGATACGTACACACAAACCACCTCTACAGTCGGCCTCACTCGGCAAGCGCGCAGAA